CAATGTGAAAACTGATAACATGACTGAAATTGGATTTTTGATTGTAACCAGTTGATACTACCTAGAAGTGACCTATAGGCAGTGTGGAGATCCTTGCCACATTTTTCTTCATCCTTCAAGCCTTTAGGTATGACAACCTCAGTAAATTCAATTAAAAAAGGGACTGTTCAACGGTAATGTGAGATTTCTTCTTGGCTTTCTTATCAATGATCCACTTCACACGTTGGCCAGTGAACATCAAGTCACTCACGTCTTCATGACCAATCTTGAATTGTGACTTGACAACTTTCTTGAACCTCTGCAGAAACTCTAGGGTTCCAGCAATGAACAAGTCATCAACATGAAGACAACTCATGCCTATTGGTTTTCTTCCCTTGGTATTACTGTCATTAACAGGGTCCATGAAGTGTTCCAAGAGTTCTTCAACAATCTCAGGTGTCAGCTGTGGTGTCGCAGCAAGGTATGTACGTTCTGAGGGTAAGAAGACTGAAACAAGAACTTCAGCTTCTTCTTCCAAGCTTGTGGGAACATTTTCCTTGTTCAAGTCGTGATTCACTTCAAGTAACCACCAAACTCCTTTCCTCTTCACAATAGAAGTCCTTAGGTGGAACTTCTTTCGGTCACAATGTGGATCAGGAGTTCTCAATGCCTTAGCACGATAAGCAACTTGAGCATGACCAGTTTCAAAGGGATACCAGCCAGACTTGTGTTCAACAGATTCCAGAAACCTCAACGTGGTCTCATCAACAACAGGAGTCCATGCACAATCTTCAACCTTCTTCTCCTCGAACTCTTTTGTCTGTTTCCATGTTAGGTTTTGTTGATAGCAGGCTGAAAACAATCTTTCTTCAACCAAAAGAGACTTATGAACTTCCTCAGCAGTGCCGGAGGATTCATCACGCGTTTCCTCACACTCTCCTGAGCCTAGGCCATAGTAGGACACAGGTGCTGGTTCTGTTGCCTCAGAGTCAGCAAAGCTAGCCTGTTTTGGCTCCTTAAAAGCACCATCATAGCACACATATGTGCATCTGTCCGCTCTTGTTGGTTGAATGCCGAACGAAATCAGAAACTTGTCTAAGCGGTTCCACCATCTCCTTGGTGCGTCCGCAAGTCCATAGACGGAATGAGTGCATAAAGAAAGGAGGCAAACCAATGTCAGCAGGCAACTGAACATGGACAACGCGTCGATCTAAGTCGCACGTTTCCCCCTGAAGGGAGGCAGTTTTCAAGTCTAAATGGAGTAAATCCCAGTACATCGAGGCTGCATGCTGAGATGCCACACGGAAACCATACCTGGTAGCAGCAGGACTGTCGGTCTTTATAAGTCATACTTTTGAGCATCGTGAAAGCCTCTACATACCCATCTAACCTTGAACTTCTTAAACTGTCCATCCTTATCAACCTTGATGGTTAGCACCCATCTGCCAGTGACATAGCTATCAATCTTATGACGTCTCTTGTCACGAAAGGTCATGGCAGTGAAATCAAGAAAGCTTCTGAATTCTTCAAGCTTGGCTTGTTTGATCTCCTGAGCATACTTTCTCAAGACTTCTTGAGTGACAACTGATTCTGCTTCTGGCTGCTTTTTTTCCATTCTTGGCAAGATACTGTTCAAATTGATTGAATCCAGTAACATCATATGAGCCAAAATCAGAGGCAGCTTGGATTTTGGGTCAGAGCTTGGATTTTTCTGTACACCTGATGGCGCTGAAGAGGCTGACTCAGGGTGAAACAAATCATCTATGTTTCCTCTGAAAGGTTTGGCTCGATCAAGGTCACTCTTGATGACGTTTTCAGGAATCACGTAGTCCTCCTTGATCTTGTAGATGGTCTTGCCCTTCCAGAATTCTTCGCTCTGTTCAGAAAACCTCTTCCTTTCACTGCGCCAGTTGTCCTTGTGGAGAACCTTCTTTCTGCTCTTCTGCAACTCCATGTGAGTCTCTCTCTCATCAAGAAGTTAATCTTTTGGAATTGGAGTTGTCTCAGATCTGTTCATCTCATGTAGGTTCATTCTCTTGTCCTTGTGATAGCTGATGAGTTCACGACGTAGTCCATCAACTTGCCAGCAGTCACCAGACACGAGAGCTTCTACTTCTTCTTCTTCTTCTTCTTCTTCTTGAACATCTTGTTTCACAGCAATCTGGCTGTACTCAAAGTGATCATGTTGCGAGAAGAAACTCTTGACTTGTGGAGTCTTGAAGTGTACTTGGCTCATGTACCATGCAATGAGTACCAATGGCTGTCTTCAAGACCATTTTTCTCATGCCAATACGTGCACAGGATAAATAAGCCTGCTCTGGAGTAAGTTCGAATTGGAATCCAAGATTTCTCATTTGTGGAAGTGACATCAACAATGGGACATCACCTTCTTCGACAATGTCGAATTCTGTGAACTGAGTGTTCCATCCCTTGTCATACATGAATATCACAAGTTTCTCAGTGCACTTGGATTGTTGGGAATTTGCAAAGAAGAAAGAATCTCGAGCTTGTTGGCTGAATTTCACACCAGGGTCCACTGATGGGATGTGAGTCAACATAAAAACAACATGCTTCAACTGCTCGTCGAGAGCCCATAGCTCTTGTGCGTCCAAGGTCAAGGATACATACAGTTGGTGGTGCGAAATTTTCTGTGTGAAAAGCTAACCCATTCTCACATGCCAGATCAGGCTGCCTGATATGAAATGAAAAAGCACTCTGCTGCTCACCTGATTCCTCTGTCTCTCCAGAGCCTTCAGGATGAGATGGTGTCTCTGTCTCTTCAGAGTATCCATATCAAACCAACTTCTCTGGGAAATGGAGCAGGTCGTCGTTGTACTCCTGATCGAAGTGCATCTAGATCTCCAACTAAGACAGGAAATCTCTTGACCTCCTTCCTGTTCTGTTGTGCCACTGCATCACGTTGGTTTTGTCCTCCTCGATGAGTGCGTCGATGTTCTTCTTGTTCTGCATAGGTAGCTGTCAAAACATCCACGTGCTGGTTCAGTCTCTGCCATTGCAAAGAAACCATGACCAGAGCTTGATGCTGCACAAGAATAGTGAGCTTGTTCCTGCTGTTGGTTCTGTATGGCAGTTGTCGATGAGGTCTGAGGCTGAACATAACTGGACTTACCTTTGCCATCTCCTGGTTTTCCTCCTTTGCCATCATCATCCTTGCCTTTCCTTCCTTTCTTTCCTTTTCCTTTTCCTTTTCCTTTTCTCTGGAAATATCCATACTCATCAAGATAGTGCAGTACAGGTCTCCATAGGCCCAAAAGCCTTCATTCCAGTTTTGATCATCGGCCCAATAGCCTTCATGAGATTCATTCCACTCATCTCCTTCATTCCATTCATCTTCATATCCTTCTTCGCTCACCATGTGAGAGCGGTCTTTTTTCCTTTTTCCTCGGCCTTTTCCTTTCCTTGATTTGAAGAACCTTCGTCCTCCTCTGCCTTTTCCTTTCCTCTTTCCTTTACCATTGCCTCGTCTGGTCTGTCTTCCTTGGAACCTTCTCTGATACCATGTGTAGTCAGCGTCATTGTGGACCCAGAAAACATCCTCTAAAGCATCAAGGAATCCTTCTGCGCCGTCTTCATCATCTTCGGCCGAATAGCGGTCAGTTCCTTCTAATTCTCCTTCTTCCAGAACAAAGAAAGATCTTCTCTGTCCAATGCCAGAGAGTTGCATCATAGGATTGTCTACTGCTGTCTTTGTAGTGCAAAACATTTCCAGGAAGAGATCTCTGAGTTCTTGCACATTGTACTGGTCAAGTGTTCGTCCACGATGTGTCATGATACTTGTGAGTGTGTTTCTCTGATCTTGCGTCAAGTCTGCTAGACTTACAAAGATCAATGCTAGCAAGTTGTCACCCAAGGAAATGCCATTCTCTGTTGTTGTCATCTGTTTGTTTGAGTTGTCTGAATGCTATCAAAGCATGTTCATCTATCCATGGTACATTGACATGTGGTTCTTGTCCTGGTGTCGCTGCTGCAATCTGTGCAAGTTCAGCCTGACGATCTTCATATTCTTGTCGACGTTGAGCAACAAGCAGGATTGCCTCTGTGCTAGTAACCGTCAAATCTGGTAGTAGATCTACCAAGACTCAATAAGTCTGTTTCCACTCAGTTGAAATCTAGTCATACATTTTTGAAGATCCACGGTTCGTCTGTTGTACTTCATGAACTGCATGAAACGGTATAAGAACACGTTCTGGGCACCTTTGATGAAATGGGGTAGCAAAATTCTCTTGAAGTAGTTGACTCCATCGTTGGGATCCCTGAGCATCTCTCTATCTAATATCTAATAACCTCTTGTATTGCTGAGCCTCTCCTTCCAGTCTGTTACGCAAAGCTGGTCCACGTTTTTCAGGTTCTAGCTCTGTGATGTCACACCAGTCATCGACTTGCATCTTCAAAAGCTAAGAAGCTGGTTCTCCCATCATATGCAGGGGCTACCTTCGTGGTCATCTGCTGCGTCCTATGGATTGAGGGCTGTTGGGGTGCTTTTCTCATTGCGAAAGAGTCATACTGATTCCATCCATCTGCATCGACAATGTCGAAGTCATCATTATCACAGCCATGGCGTGCCATATCGGGCTCTACCTGGAGCTCACCTTCAATGAAGGATCACAGCTCCACTACCACTTGAAGAGGGGCACTAGGGTCTAGGTTAGATCAGCTAGAGCGTCTTCTCAAGACAGCTTCACACCTTTTATACTCGGCCAGTCGGTGCGGTGTCCACAGTATTACTCTATATCAATATCTCTCTTGAGCCTTGACAGCGTATGTAAATGTGCTCAATACTCATGCTATATCCACATAGGATTCAAGCCCAAACAAAAACAGGGGGGCGTTCAAGTGAAAAATCACTGTGTTGGACTCAGACCTGCCGCTCCCCTTGCTGAAGCAAGAGTAACTCAGCTAGCTACCACTAGCTTTCGTGATCTTCAAACCATGTCATTCACATGGATCGAAAAACGAACCGTTTCAGGAACACTGAAGTTTTTAAAGATGTCCCAGCAAATTCACATCGGGGATAGTAAGTTTCCGGGTTTCAGCAGAGCTGCATCCTGCGTGAAGTATTTCTGGGAGCTCTCCCAAATTTCGATGTCTAGCCAGCGCAAGAACCTGAAGACCGCCAGTTTGGTAGCCAGATTATCTATAATATCCAATAATACCCAAAAATATCCTCAACAAGATAACATGACAGCTATGATTGTAACCAACCTTTGTAAAACGCGTTGAGTCTCCGAGTGTGCCAGGCAGCTCGCGCTTGCTGGCCAGGGCCTCTGGAAGCAAGTCATTCGCCACATTGGAAATGTAGCCCAGGTCACCCCGTCTCTCCGAGTCCATCGATGGCATCCCGGCTTTGTCAACGCACTTGTCCATGGAATGGCTCACACACCGTTCCTTGGAGCAAAAAGAACGGGGTCCCGTGATTCCGTAGTCAATGGACACAAGCTTCAATAAGCTTCAATTCAAGGAGGTTGAAGTCCATCAAGTTGATGCAGTGATGTGGTCGGTTTGCAGACTCCACCATCAAAAACCCAAGCCTCAAGCAATCTGCAGCCAAGTCTCTTTGCACAAACTGAGATCTGTGCAATTCTCTGCTGTACTGTTCAAGCAGGCATCCAGAACCCCAGGTTGTCCACGACAGATAGCCACCATGCAATCTTTGCGGATGATGGATTGCAGCGGCGTAATCCCACCTCCTTCAAAGACCAAGTCAATCTCCACAAAGCCAGGCCTGGCAAGGTAGCGGCTGCAAGGTGCTCGACTAGTCATACCGTGCATCCAGGGTATGGATCGGGACCTTACATTGTGAGATGCAGCCTCATCAATCCCATTCTCTGCGGTTCTTGTTGCTTCCTTCTTGCTCTGTATAGAATAGAAAATATCGAAGGTGGCCAATCTACAGTCAGGACGTCACCCGCAAGCTGCAGGTCAGATGTTTACAATGTTTTGCTTTCCAGGTACATGTAACCTGTTTCTGTTTTGAGTTGTTGCTTGTTGATTGATATTGTCACTTACCTTGCGACTTCCGGCAAGAACTGTAGATTCAGAGTTTTGAGCTTGCACAGCTGGTTCCAGATGGTTATTGCTTTCCTTGTCAGCATCGCATTGGGCCCCTTGTAGCCTAAACTCAACCTGGTCAAGAGATCTAGACAGTCCTGAGAGATGCAGCGAATGGAACATAGCCTGAGCCCTAAGATCCCCAAACAGGGATGAACAGATAATGTCAAGATTACCACTTAGAAACAGCATTTAAGGATATCAGCAACATGTCAGTATAGAGTAGTGAAGTCTCTTCTGAGTGGCCTCTGCAGGGGTGGCAACTCGATGATGAAAGGGTTGGTTGTTGGGTTGGGGCTCTGTAATTTACACGCCATCTTTGCATCTTAGCGAAACCAAGACCCCAAAGCATTCTGTGGATCTTGTCTATTAGAATAAAAATACAGTCCCATAATCGACCACGAGTCATTACCGCTCTTTTTGTACCTCATGCTCCAAAACATCCCACAGCTCCTGAAGAGTGAAGGATGGGACTTGGAGACGACTTTCCCGCGCAGGATTTGCTTGGGAACCCATTTGTCGATCTCCGCCTGGGCGTCAGCACCATGGCATCTGGCAACCGTATTTGATCCCGTCTGAGATGGAAGCAATGAAATTATATAAATGGAATTAGATTTCATTAAAGGTAACCAAGTGTAATTATTGAATGTAATGACAAGTTTTCAATGTAATTAAACGTAATGAATGTAATGAAATGTAGTTCTATGTATATAATTAAACGTAATTAAATGAAATTATTGAATGCAATAAATGTAGTTAAATGTAATGGAATGTAATTTAATGCAATTAAATGTAGAAAAAAAAACGTGATCAAATGTAAATCAATGGATTCAATGTAATGAAATAAAAATTGCAGTTAATTGCATGTAACTAGCCCAGCTTTGCAACCCAACAGCAGCAAGGATTCCAACGTCTGAGGGTGACAAACAATGTTCACACAGCAGGAGACAGATTGGGAGACAAGGTGGGAAACAAGGTGACAGACAACGTTGGACACACAGTAGCAGAAAAGCTAAGCTGGGAGACAAACGGAAGACAAGCCGCAGCAGGCAAACTTCCAAGGTTCCAAGTGGGAGACACATGGGAGACAAGTGCAAGACAGACAAGTGAAAGATAAATGGGAGACAAAGGAGACAACTGGGAAACAAGTGGGAGACAAGTGGAAGACAAGTGGGAGACAAGTGGGGGACAAGTGGGAGACAAGAGGAAGACAAGTGGGAGACAAGTGGGAGACAAGTGGGAGACAAGTGGAAGAAAAGTGGAAGACATGTGGGAGAGGCAAGTAGGAGACAAGTGGGAGACGATTGGCAGACAAGTGGGAGACAAGACAAGTGGGAGACATGCGGGAGACACAAGTAAACAAGTGGGAAACAAATGGGAGACAAGTGGCACACAAGTGGCAGACAAGTGGGACTTTGGGAGGCAAGCGGAAGACATTTTTGGAGGCACAAGTAGGAGACAAGTTGGAGGCAAGTGGAAGACAAGGGGGAGACAAGTGAGAGACGAGTGGGAGACAAGACAAGTGGAAGACAAGTGGGAGACAAGTGGGAGACAAGTGGGAGACAAGTGAGAGACAAGTGCAAGACAAGCGGGAGACAAGTGAGAGACAAGTGCAAGACAAGTGGAAGACAAGTGGAAGACAAGGGGGAGACAAGTGGGAGGCAAGTGGCAGAGAGGTGGAGACAAGTGGGAGACAAGTGGGAAACAAGTGAGAGACAAGTGGGAGGCACGTGGGAGACAAGTGGGAGACAAGTGGGAGGCAAGTGGAAGACAAGTGGAAGACAAGGGGGAGACAAGTGGGAGGCAAGTGGCAGAGAGGTGGAGACAAGTGGGAGACAAGTGGGAAACAAGTGAGAGACAAGTGGGAGGCACGTGGGAGACAAGTGGGAGACAAGTGGGAGGCAAGCCGGAGACAAGTGGGAGACAAGTGGGAGACAAGTGGGAGGCAAGTGGGAGATAAGTTGGAGACAAGTGGCAGACAAGTGGCAGACAAGTGGCAGACAATTGGGAGACAAGTGGTGGACAAGTGGGAGACAAGTGGGAGACAAGTTGGAGACAACTGGGAGACAAGTTGGAGACAAGCGGGAGACAAGTGGGAGGCAAGTGGGAGACAAGTGGGAGACAAGTGGAAGACAAGTGGGAGACAAGTGGGAGACAAGTGGAGAACAGGTGGGAGACAAGTGAGAGACAAGTGGGAGACAAGTGGGAGAAAAGTGAGAGACAAGTGGAAGACAAGTGGAAGACAAGCGGGAGACAAGTGCGAAACAAGTGGGAGGCAAGTGGGAGACAAGTGGGAAACAAGTGGGGGACAAGTGGGAGACAACTGGGAAACCAGTGGGAGACAAGTGGGAGACAAGCAGGAGACAAGTGGAAAACAAGCGGGAGACAAGTGGGAGACAAGTGGCAGAAGTGGGAGACAAGTGGGAGACAGGTGGGAGACAAGTGGGAGACAAGTGGGAAACAAGTGGGAGACGAGTGGGAGACAAGTGGGAGACAAGTGGGGACAAGTGGGAGACAAGCGGAACACAAGCGGGAGACAAGTAGGAGACAAGTGGAAGACAAGTGGGAGACAAGTGGGAGACAAGTGGCAAACAAGCGGGAGACAACCCTGCTGCGTCCCGATTGCCAGGGAGGGAAAAATCGGGATACCACTCCCCCTGCTCCTAGAGATTGAAACCCAACAGCTTTCTGCAGTTGGGAATTAAATGAAATTAAATGTCGTTAAACAAAATAAAGTGTAGTTACTAAATCAAAATCTCAACTGCGGCGAGTGAGAACAATGGCACCAGGTTTTCAGCCGAAAGGGCGCCCTGCAGAATGGCAGTGTCTGAAAGGGACAGAGCAAGTGACAGTCACACCTTGGAAACGATGGATGAATCACCTGTGCAATGCTGTTGATTCTGGTCAAATTCACACCCGTCCTTGGCTGTCACTTTACTCTTACGCAAATGCCTTGCTGCACGTATGGAGGCTTTCTTTGCCAGTGCAGCATCGCTTGGCTGCAACTGCCATGTGCCGTCGTGCAGGGCAGAAAGTAGCGGCTCTCGTTCCGATCCTAACTTCGTCAAAACATCTGCCAACATCTGACTCGTATCGATCCAGTGGGCATAGACGAAGCCATCGTCAGAGAAGTCATTCTCTCCAATCAGCTCCTTGACTTGGGCCACAAGAATTCGGACACGTTTGTCCGTAGGTTGTCCTGCGTCCTTGTTGAGTGTGCTCTCCAAGGACTTGGCATCGGTGATGCAAATCAGCTTGTTCTTGGCAAATTCTTTCTCCAATGTGTTGATCTTTACCTCGGGATGCTGCAATTCCAAGAGCAAAGACCTTACATACTCACCTGCTTCAACGCCAGTCAGGAAACCATTTGATTCTGCAGCAAGTGTGCTGCGGCAGACTGGTTTGATTGACCCGGACTAGGTCTCGATCACATGGATGGGAGTTGGCAAACCATCTTTGATGCGGGAGGTGGTCAAGGCAATGACTAAACCGCACTGAGACTTGGTTCCATCCACATTTGCAAAACTGCTGTCCGCAAAAACACAAACCACAAGATCTTGAAGCTGAAGTTCAGGGGAAGGAACGAAACGCCAAAGAGAGTCGGCAGACTCCTTCAGCATCTTCACCGCTTTGTTCAAATTGACCACATGTTTGATTCTTGGAGCACCCATGCTTTGAGCAGCCATACTTAGGTTCACCATGAGATCGGGTCTTGTCTGTCTCGTGACCCAACCCATCTGGCCGATCAGGCCACGGAAGCTGGTCACTTCCACAGGGGTCAACAAAGCATTTGCCATGCTCCTTCGCTCCTTTGTCAAAGACATGTAGTCGATGCTCTCTATATGGCATCAAGTTGATCTAGCTGGATCGTAAAGTCATCCAGCTGCTTCACATTCTTTCCGCAAAAACGAAACTCTTTGTGCTTGATCTTGAGATGAAGTTCTGTCTCCATGCTCTTGAGGGTCTGGTGATAAACATCTCCTTGTCCAGCACAAAATAAATCATCAACATGCGTGATCAAAATGCCTTGCAAACAACCGTCAACCGCAAGAAAGAAAAGCGCAGCTTCGATCTTCGACATCTTCCAGTTATGCTTCTTCAAAGTACGAAAAAGTTTACGCCACCATGATCTCCCGGCATCCTTGGCCCCATGGATCGAACCGAAGGCACGTAAAAGGTCATGTGCACTGACGCCAGGAGGAGGAGGTCTTGGTGGCCTCAAGATCAGCAATCGACTGATTCCCTGAGACTGCAAATATGCCGTATAAGCATCGCAAGCTGTGACAATGCACTGAAAAATTGTGGCGATGGAGCAGACAAGGTTGAAGGTCAAGAGGGAAGCAGTCGGACTGTCTGTCCGGATGGACTGGGGGTGATGACCTTGAACCACCAATCTGCTTTTGGCCTGAAAAGGGAATTCCTTCTTGATCTGCTCATCAGACTTCTTGGTTCTCTCTTGCAAAGCTTTTGCCATCAAACGAGGTTTGCTGTTCTTGTCGGTATGCACTCACCGAGTTCCGATGACCTGGGTGTCATCAGGGAGTTGTTGGACTTGTTCTGGGGTGAGAAGTTCAACAGCTCCAAACTCTTCCAGGAGTCCCACTCTTTCTGCATGGAAACGTCAAATTTCTTTCTGTCTTCCTGATTCAGGTCTTTGAGTGAGATCTCTTAGGAAGCTGCTTTGCCGGTCATGGAAGTGTCGGCAGGGTGAACATGTATGTGTGTAGAGCTCCTCATTGACGGAGTCGTTGCTCTCTTCATCATCAGTCTCATAGTTTGACAAGGCCTTTAGTTGCCGAAGTCGCACTGTATGAGGTAGATCTGGGCAATCCCACAGCTGCGCATCACCAGCAAAGTATGGACCTGAAACAGGCGCAAATTGATTTCGCACTGGTTCAAAACGTTCTGGAGTTCTCAGGGGATGACCGTCAAGTCGGTCTGGTTGTTGCCGTAGAGATTGAATGAGTTGTGAAGGCTGTTCTTCTCGGGGAGGTGTGATGTGGAGTAGGCAATGCTGAAGGCGCAGGAGCTCGAGCTGGCGCAAGTACAGGGGCAGCTGAAGTACCATGGGAAGAAGATGCAGCCGCCCCAAAATCTAATGGGCTAGACTGCAAATCACGGGCTGGCTCATCAGCTTCTGAGCCTTGAAGTTGAAGTTGGGCAGCATGACTTCGGAGATCAACATAGTTTCGACCACGTAATAAGTAACCTGAAGGATCTCCTCAGGCAGGTAGTGTGCTGCCAAGAGCTCATCTTCACTTGCAAAACGTAACTGCTCACCTGTCACCAGGATGACCGAAGGTCCATATCGAAGCCAGTAGGCATGAGGTTGGCCGCCCTCTGTTGGAAGTTCAGGGTCTTCAGACCGACGCTGGTTCTTCAATTCAACGCCGATGACCCGGGCAGGACCAAACCATCTGTATCTTCTACCTTGGGCTCGTGCTTGGACAGGAGCTTGAAGTTGGTAGAAGTACACATAGCTGCCAACAGGATATGGGCCTCGTGTTGGAGTAGACTGAGACAGAAGTGC